TTATTCGGATCGACGTTTGTCGTGTTACCGACCGACTACACTGTGTTGCGGTGCGCAGTAGGTTCAGAGGTTTGGTCCTCATGTCGGCCTTGTTTATCGAAGCTCCATGACGCTGGCGCGTTCGGAACTACAGAAAGTTTAGATCGGAACGCCAACATGAACGAAGCTATGACCATCCTGCAACGATTCGCACGTGCTATCGGTCCAACCAGCGCCAACTACACGAAAACACACCAACAAGTTCCTTTTGTGAGAACCAAGCCGACTAAACTTCCATATACGCCTTTACACCTAGACAATAGTAGAAGCCGGTCTCTCGACCATAGAGGAAGAGGGAAAGAGAAAGAGCTATGGCATCACGGTGGGCAAATGATGAAGCAGACAAAGCCGAGGAAGCGCGTCGGAAGAAAGAGAAAGAAGAGAAGAAACGCCTGAAGCTTCAGAAACAGCAAGAGGCGGAAGCAGCCTCACGAGCAACGCAAGAGGCGGAATCGAGACCGGCAAAGCGCAGGAGATTATCAACAGGCGACGATGACGAGGGAGCCGCAAAGCCCAAAGAAGAAGAGACTGAGAGGAAGCTCCTGCGATTTCAAGGCGGAGGTTGGAACCCTTGTCGACATACATCCAACTTCGAGATCCTCAATCAGATCGAAGAGGGCTCATATGGCTGGGTCTCCCGAGCGCGCGATATCACTACAGGCTCCGTCGTCGCCCACAAGAAGGTCAAAATGGACTACAACCAAGACGGTTTCCCTATCACCGCGCTGCGAGAAATCTCCATCCTGCAACGTTGCAGACATGCAAATGTCGTCGATCTTCTGGAGGTTTTATCTGGTGATGACCCGCAAGAATGTATCTTGGTCATGGACTTCCTCGAACATGACCTCAAGACACTACAAGAAGACATGAGTGAGCCATTCATGGCAAGTGAAGTCAAGACATTATTACGACAGTTGGTCTCTGGCGTCGGCTATCTGCATGAGAACTTCATCATGCACCGCGATCTGAAGACATCAAACATCCTACTCAACAACCGTGGCCAACTCAAACTTGCAGACTTTGGTATGGCACGATACATCCCACCGGCGAACGCGCCCCTCACACAACTGGTCGTCACGCTATGGTATCGTGCGCCTGAACTTCTACTAGGGACTCGAGATTACGGAACGGAAGTCGACATGTGGAGCGTAGGCTGTATATTCGGCGAACTGCTTGCAAAAGAGCCGTTACTACAAGGCAAGAACGAGGTCGACGAGCTCTCACTCATCTTCTCCCTTTGTGGTCTCCCATCAGAGAAGTCTTGGCCACAATTCTACCGCCTGCCCAACTCCAAATCACTGAAGCTACCGCGCGACCACCGCAACGCCCCAGGCTTCAACCGTGCGAAATTTCCCTTCTTGACAGCGTCTGGCATCGAACTCCTCTCTTCGTTACTATCCCTGAATCCAGACCATAGGCCTACTGCGAAAGAAGTACTGGAGCATCCTTACTTCAGAGAGCAACCCAAGCCTAAACCGACCGAGATGTTTCCCACGTTTCCAAGCAAGGCGGGGCAAGAGAGGAGAAGGAAGAAGAGTCCGAATGCGCCAAAGAGAGGAGAGGCGCCCGGCATGCAGGGGAATGTGGACTTTAGTAGTATTTTCAAGGGCAGAGAGGAAGAAGAGAAGGGAGCAGGATTTCAGTTGAAGATGACCTGATTGATTGCGAAGACGCGTAGGCATGTAGGGAACTTCCTTCAAAGCAACACGGACTCCACCCAAATGGGGCCGGCGACCGACTTCAATTAATGTATACCATTGGTCTGGCCAACCGAACTGTCCAACCGAGCTCCTACTTGACTGTGCGGATGCCTCTAGGCTTTTCCAGCCGACAATAAAGCCAATCTTGCGTCTCTCATCTGCGGTCTCTGCTTCGGCTCCGGTCGCTGCCATAGGAGCTATAGCTTGGACTCCTCCTTCCGCCGGCTGCGCCCGCGCGACCTCCCCTCCTTGGTGAACTGTCCCGCCTGCCATAGCCTCCTCCCCCACTTCGTCTTGGCGGTGTTCTGGATGGGGAGCGACTGTAAGAAGAGCGCGATAGGCTTCGTCGTGGTGACCGGCTGCGAGACCGTGTGTACGACCGTGGCCGTCCTCCGTAGGCCCCTCGTCCACCACGGCCGCCTCCGCCTCTGCCCCGACCCCAGTGTCCTCGATCGGGCGACATTCGACGCGGTGGAGATCGATAACGGCCATCCATAGGTGGTGGCCTGTACGCGCCAGGTGGGCCTCCGCCCCTCGGTCCCCGTCCACCGCGCCCATAGCCACCTTCGTAGTCGTCGCGTGGCGGCGGGCCTCTACGCGCAGGCGGAGGTGTCTGTGAGAAACGACGGCGGGGAAGGACAATGGAAACTTGGATCTTCGCTCCATCTAATTGTGCGTCGTGCATCTTCGCGATTGCGCGTTCGGCGTCGTCGATCTCCTCGTAGAGAATGTAGGCTATGCCGCGATTGATGTTGACTGTTCAACAGTCAGTCCTGCTCTATGAGGAGGTAGGGCGAAACATACAGGTGGGGTTCATGGGCATGGTGAGTTCCTTGATGACACCGTACTTGCCGAATATCTCCCGCACATGGTCTTCTTTGACGTTCCTGGTCAAGGCTTCCACTACGATCTGTTGGAGGGTCAGCGTGCTGGTGCAGGAAGGCTGAGGCAAGCCAGCTCTGAGATTTGCTTCTGGCCCAGGGAGTATGCGTACCTTTGCGCTTCTAGGTGCTGGCGATCGATCTCGTGGAGTCAAACTCCGGGAATAACTTCTTCCTCTCGAACGCGATCTGCTGTCTGGTGTGTAGCTCCGTCGCCCATTGCGCCTTGGAGACGGTGATGTCGGCGAGCGCGATCGAGTAATTGAACGAGACCGTGTAGGCGACCGAGGGGTTACGGAGCGCCGCGGCGAACCTGATTGCGCCGACCGAGGGCGGCTGGGCGATCTTGTATGCGACGGGTCGCGAGAAGGGCTGCGCGTGCGCGAGCGTGCGGGAGATGGAGAACGAGATGGCATGTCTTGGCTGTCGCGCAAATTCAGTCGTAGTAGTGTCCTAGTGCGTGCTCTTCAGTGTATACTCGGTGGTTGGGCTTGTTGTTACTTTGTTGGTCATGTCTAACGCGACGTAACTTTTGGATGGTAGCTCCAAGCTTCAAGCTCGTCTTAGCGCTGGCACGTGACTAGCGAGACGTGTTCGCAAACAGCCATCACATAGTCAAGGGCCACGGCAGGGAATAGATCGACAACGTAGGAAGAGAAATGAATCGCCAGCTTGTACAGATTGCACAAGGTGCATGATGAAAAGCCAGTCGTTCCTCAAACTCCAGCGATACGATTTCATATCTGCCGCGGAGCTCGATTGTGTGATGTCTGCAATTTCAACGTTTGCTGCCAAACACGCCAGAGACGGGCTGAATAGTAGATGTGTGAAGGACCTGGACTTAGACGGTTCCAGTGTCCGCTATTGCGTGACTGTTGGATCGACTGCTGAATTGCCAGCACTCTGACCCGCTATCCGTCCTCGACCCCAGAGCGCGGCGGATACTAGGCGGGTATCGCGGTGGACATAGCTAAATGCGGCGCGCTCAGTGCCGTCGCGTTAGGCATCGAGGGCAGTGGTGACCCCCACCAAGTAAGCAGCTACATGATAGCGCAATTAGAACGCGTGACGGGTCGTCAGATTAGAAGCTCAGAGGTTTGCGTGCTGGAATTGGAGGAGTGAATTGCGTCCGTTAGATTTCATCGCGAGAGGCGGGGTCAAAACAGCCCCACTATCAAATCGCAACTTTAGCCCAACAACGCAGCCTTGAACACCCTCACCGCATTTACCCTCCTGCTCTGCTTAGTCAAAAGTACCTGCATCTACTTCGCCGCATCCCTCTTCATCTTCCCATCACCACAAGCTTCCACAGCACGCACATCAACCCTCCGCAACCATGTCCTGGCAAGGTAAGCAGCTGGAGGCGTCGACTTCGGAAGGTCCTGGCTAACTTTGGGCGCAGAATACGTTGACACCAGGTACATCAAGCCTCCTAATCGACCATCTGCCCATAGCTAACGCTATCACAGCCTCGTCGGCACCGGTAACATCGACAAGGCCCTCATCTGCGACATCGAGGGCTCGACTGCCTGGGCCGCCTCCGCCGACTTCTCGGTAAGTCGTCCGATACAATACGCGCCGGACGCAGCGAGCACTCCAGAATCAAAGCTCCGGTGGCGCATAAACAACAGATTGGTACTGACCAATTACAGCTGTCCGCTGAGGAAAGGGCTGCCATTGCCAAATCCTTCAACGACAAGTCAGAGCCCAAGAAAGTCATCTCGGAAGGTGTCAAGGTCAACGGTGTAAAGTACATGACCATCGAGGCAAGCGACGACTCGCTCAAGGCAAAGAAGGTAGGTGCCAAACATTGCCCACCATAAAGTGTTCAAACACTGACAACAACCCCAGGGAAAAGAGGGCATCGTCGCTTTCAAGACTACCCAAGCCGTCATCATCGCGCACCACCCCGACACCATCCAGACCCCCAACGCCTTCAACTCCGTAGTTGAGCTCGGCGAGTACCTGAAGAAGCACGGAATGTGAAGCGCCTTCGATTCGAGCCTGTTTGTACTTTAGGGATATTTGCATAACCGAGTTGCGGAGCGATGGATGGCATCATGGGCGACTGCTCATGGACATATATATGATTGACGATGGATGAAATAGCCGCATTGGAGGACCCTCTTCGATACAATGACAACTCTCAACCCCTAAAACCAGACCATTCTTTGTTGCAGGTCCCAAAGAGTACTGTGCATCTCGCCGCCGAACTTGCGAATCTAGCTTCACATTTTCACTACAATAGCGGTAAGAGACTAGCATATCGAAGCGCATGTACTATCAAGCGCAGTCACACCATCTCATGTTGCGCGTGGACGTAATAAGCACGGGCCAAATGTGTTCAGGATGTTCTAGCGATGGACGAAAGAGAGAAGACCTAAAGGCCCTTCATACACGCCAACTTCTTCACGACCTTATCTCCAAATGCCTCCTGTAACTGGGCGGCAACAACCTCTCTCTTCTCATCCGCATTCTCATCGAGATCAAACGCGGTAGGGCCCTGCAAACAAGCCCTAATAACACCCTCCACCGTATTACCTAGATAACTCTTTACCCCCCGTAGATGTTGTGGTTCCGTCTGTAGCAACCTCTTCTCCACAGCCCACGTATGCTTAGGCCGTGCCTTTTCAAGATCGATGGACAGAATCTGGTCAATGGTTTTCCAGTAAGCGATCTCCAGTAGCACGATACCGAGCGAGTAGAGGTCGAACGACTTCTTGTAAGACTCACGACCGCCGACGTCTTCGCGATTCCCTCTATGCTGTACGGAGGGATGACGATAGATGTCTGCAGCGGGATTGTCAAGAGGACGCTCAGTCATATCATCGCCGGTTGCCGGGCGGGAATAGTCAAAACCACTGATCAGAGGATCAGAGTAGTTGACCTCGCCGTGCGTGACCTGACCGTTCTCAACTCTTCCTCCCTTCTTCGGAAAGAGGAGGATGTTGGCCGAGCGTAGGCCCTTGTGAAGCCAATCCACCGCATGGAGACGTTCAACTGTCTCGGTAAGAAGTCTCATGAGTGTGATACGGTCAGTGAGCGAAGGTATATCGTTCTCGGGGTTTGCGATGAGTGCGTGTAGAGATGTTGGTTCAGTGTCCGCCGGGACAGACGCGGGCTTTTCGAAGACTAGCCCGAAACGTCCTTCGTCCTCATCGATAAAGTAGCCTCGGCAGAAGGGTGCTCTAAACCGGACTGTTCTGTTGTGCTTACTGAGTAAGGCGGCCAGTTTCTTGACGCGAGCGTGGATCTTGGCGTCCACGGCACCATCCTGCTGCATGGGACCCGTGGTATCGGGTGATTTCCATTCTATCCACACGGGTGTGTTCTTGAAGTATGCTTCCGTACGTACACCTTCATCAATCTCCACGGGAAATTGACTGCCCTGCTTAGGGCGTATGTCCATGTACTGGAGCTCAGTATCACGAATATCCTTTGGCAGATCTGGCATGTTGATCTTTTGTGCATAGCTTGTGGTAAGATCTTCGTGAGAGTCTTCGATAGCAAGGTGAATGAAGTTTTGTTGGGCCAAAGCAGCAAGAGGCTGACGGGCGGCACCACGAGCTGCGACGGCTCCACTGTCGATCAGACCGTCATACTCGGAATCTTCCATCTCTAGCAGTGCCCTTCGAAAGCCAATCTGTTCCGATTGCTGGGATTGGTAGATTTGAACCATGTGCGACATCGTCCTGTTCAGCAAAACTATTTGGTCATTGGTACGTGTCTGCATATCGATGAGCAGGTCCACTTGAGCTTTGTCGAGCGCTTCATGCATCTTGTCGTTGAAGTCGGCCAGTTTTGCGATTAGCTTCTCCATCTTGAGGTGATCAAATACAGCCCATTTGAGCCTCTTTGGTACATCCTTGAACTGTTGCACGAATTTGAGGGACATTTTTACCAGCTCGTCAGTAGGCGGGAACCGGACAGACCTTGCATTCCCTCCACCAGAGCCGTTGGTATCGTCTTCGATCAGGCGATCAAAATTTTGTAGGACGAATGCTTCAGCTGCTTCCTCTAGGAGAGGCTCTGTAAGTCTCTCATACTTCTTGTCTAGCCGGCCGAATGAGAAGAGAAGCTTTTGTTGTTGCTCCATGATGTTGATAATGAGGCCTTTCGACATGTGGTTCAGGACCAGTTTGTCGTCTCGATAATCGAGCTGTACAAGCTTTGCCCAGTTGAGAAGTCGATGTTCTTCCACTTTGAAGTTAACGAGAAGCGCTTGGCAGTCTTTGCGAAGATGACAAGCATCTGCGATCAGTTCGTAACCTAATCAAGATTGTTAACACATGCTCGGGCGTAGTTCAATGGGTCATGCCAACCTTGGATACATCCCGCAAATACCTGAAAGAAAAAGGATACTCCTCCAATCGCTAACTCTGCCATCTCTAGGGTTGTTCGGAGTAACCGTTGAAAGTGACAGCTGGACAGTCTCACCGAGAGAGGAAAGCAATGAGATGAACGCAGACTTGGAAAATTACTCAAGTGTAAGCAGCGAGAAGGCTATTTCTACCAAACCTCCATGGCGACATGAGAGCATAGCACGCCGCGATGCAGGCGCGCAACCTGATCTGTAACCAACACTGCCCCGTGGCCTCGAGCTGAAGGCTGTCATTATATCCCAGACCAATCCAGGAGGCTGGAATAGTGGGTCCGGTAAGGGTAACAGCGCGATGGCGTTTTGCGATACATGACGAAGGCTGCAATCGTGGCTGAGGGGCGTTCTGCTGAACTCGTTTGGTGCAGCAGAGACATCACCTGGAGGTGATAGGCTGTCGGGTGTGTGCCTCGAGGAAAGCCGCGGTCCGCACAGCCACGCCAAGAAGCCACGCGAACATGGACCCTGGTCGACGCGTCGCATGCTGCCACCCATTTGCTCACGATCAAACCAGTGACAGGCGAACCGGTCATCAGAGCTACGACGGGCACCTGGCCCCCCGGAAATGCTTCTCGAGCATCTCAATCCTTGGTATCGCCCCGCAGCAGAGTTTGAGCCAACGCCCTTTATCGCCCTCCTCTTCCGAGCTCCCGTCAAGCTACTCCTCTACCATGCATACCACCTTCTCACACGTCTGCGCTCAACCCCGAAGCCTCTACAACTCCCATCCGTTCGAGTCGTTTGCATCTCTGATACCCACAATTTGATACCGGAAGATGTACCGGAAGGCGATCTGCTCATCCACGCTGGGGACATGACGAATGACGGAAGTTTGGCGGAGATACAGAAACAAATAGACTGGCTGAGCTCGCTCCCGCACAGAGAGATTGTAGTGATCAGTGGGAACCATGATACTTTTCTGGATCCAAGGACACGACCATCGCTGTCCGAACAGCACAGGACTGGAAGGCTCTATTGGAAGAGGGTACACTACCTGCAGCACCGACGGTTGAGCCTAACGATCAAGGCTGAGCCTAAAGACGGCGATCAGATGGATGTTACCACACCCTTGCTCGCAGCGGAGCCAGGTCAGAGGAGGGTACGAATCTACGGCGCACCCCATATACCAGTGTGTGGAGACATGAACGTGCATGCCTTCCAGTATGAAAGGGGTCGAGACGCGTGGTCAGAAACTGTGCCTGAAGACATCGATATATTGGTCACACATACACCGCCGAAATACCATCTGGATCTGTCCCTGCCGACGGGGATCGGCTGCGAGCATCTCCTTGCTGAGGTCAGGCGGGTGAAGCCCACACTACACGTCTTCGGCCATGTGCATTGGGGCGCAGGGCAAACCGTAGTATGGTGGGACAGAGCTCACGATGCATATGTGCGAGGGCTTTCAATCAAGTCCAAGTGGACACGGGGTATCCTGAATCCAAAGCTTTGGTGGAATGTAGTCAGGGTCGCGTACCGTGGTATGAGAGAGCTGCTCTGGGATCGCGTGTGGGGCGGGCAGAGTCCAAACACCATCATGGTCAATGCAGCCCAGACGCGTGGAAATACAGGCAAGTTGGGCAATCCTATCCAAGTGGTCGACATTTGATATCGTCCGTCACATGATACCCAAAGCAGTCGTAATCGTAATGTGTAAACCTCATAATCAACACAGCAGTAAGCACTTGATTGTCGGGAACTCTTTTCGAACTAAAAAGGGTTCTGTTGATTTAGCCTGACTATCTCGAAGGAGAAGCCAAGTACAACAAGGAGACCAGGCGATTCGCCGTTCCCCGCGACTTTATTTGATTGTGGTCATGAAACCATAAATCGTGCATACCATGCCATGCCATATTCCACCACTGAGCCAATGATTTGCGCACATGCTCAGAGACGACGACCACGGCGACCACCCTTCCTCCTGGTGGAGTCGGATGGGGTGGGAGTAACGTCCTCGATACGTCCGATGCGCATACCAGCACGGGCAAGAGCGCGGAGGGCGGACTGGGCACCGGGGCCGGGGGTCTTGGTGCCGTTACCACCGGTGGCACGGATCTTGACGTGGAGAGCGGTGATACCGAGTTCTGCAGATGTTAGCTCCTGTTCCTGCTCCAGTTTATTAATTCGAATTATCTTACCCTTGCAGCGGGCAGCAACGTCCTGGGCTGCCAACATGGCGGCGTAGGGAGAGCTCTCGTCACGGTCGGCCTTGACCTTCATGCCCTTTTGTACTGGTCAGCGTGTGTCGCACGCAGTCGACATGTCTGCACTTACACCGGTGACACGCGAGATGGTTTCGCGGCCAGAAAGATCGGTGATATGAACGAAGGTGTCGTTGAATGAAGCGAAGATACGGGCGACACCGAAGACAAGCTCACCCTGCGCTGCTGTCAGTCCATGTCGTCGCGATTTCCAATGTCTGCTGGTCACGCACCTCGCGGACCTGGGGTCCGAGCTGGATGTTCTCCTGGGGAGCGCGGGCGACCTTCTGCTTGGGAGGCATGTTGGCGGTGATATGGGTTTCTTGACGTGACTGGCGGTTCGTAACACTGTCGGCGATCGAGTCGAACTTTCGGTGGTGGGAGGTGGAATTTCGCTTGTTCGCGGGTGTCGGAGCAACCAAAACGCCGTGCTTAGCGCGCCAAGCCGCCTACTTAACTTTTCTTTGGCTGCCGCAAGCGACCTGCAATCTCTCCATCGCTTTGCAATGGGCTGACTTCCTCCACCTCACTCACGCACAAGAGCGTGCGACACAACACCAGCCATGGATGACCGCAAGAGCGTCGGTATTATCGGCATGGGCGACATGGGCAAGATGTACGCCCGCCGGCTGAGCACAGCTGGCTGGAAGTGAGTGCACTCGCGACTGATAGCTTCGGAGCTCCAGTGTCTTCTGCCAATGGTAAGTCCTTCATTTTCTCATCCTCCCCTCCCCCGTTATGATGACCGTGAGTGCATTTGGCTCGAGTACGGCGCATGTCCACACTGCTGCCGTCTTGGTTTGCAGTAATTGGGCATGTTGCCGTCCATGATGTGAATTCTCGCTACCTTATTTTATACACCTCTGAACTACAACCAACTACATCGCATTGTTCATTACTATGGCGCGAACATTGCTAACCAGTGGCTCACAGATCGATTCCTCTCCGTCGAACGCGCTGACATGCTCTCGTTGAAGGGTTCACGCCTGCGATCTTCCAGACAAGTTTGATACATTAGTGGCAGAGTTTCGGGACTTTGTAGGATAGCGCTTTTATATATCAATGAACGAACGCATGCTGAGACTGCGCCAGCCCAGAGTTGAGATCATGCAAAGTGGTCATCTTGTGTCTCGCTGCAGCGACTTCATCATATACAGCGTCGAGGCGAAGAACATCGACGCGGTCGTTAAGACTTTCGGCCCATGTATGCCGCCTCCTGTCACTGGTCAGTGCCGTTACTGACTCAAGTCTACGTTCAGCTACAAAGGTCGGCGCAATAGTCGGTGGTCAGACCTCATGCAAGGCCCCGGAGATGGAGGCTTTTGACAAACACCTCCCTAAAGACGTCAGCATCGTCTCGGTGCACTCCCTCCACGGGCCGGGCATAGACCCGAAAGGGCAGCCACTGGTGTTGATCAAGTATCGCGCCTCGGATGCCGACTTTGCGTTCGTGGAGAATGTTATGTCCTGCCTCGGGTCCAAGCACGTCTATCTTTCCGCCGAGCAGCATGATCGCATTACAGCGGACACACAAGCTGTTACTCATGCCGCTTTCCTCAGTATGGGCGGTGCATGGTTCGCGAACAACCAGTTCCCGTGGGACAGCTCGCGCTACGTTGGTGGTATTGAGAACGTCAAGATGAACATTACCCTCCGCATCTACTCTAATAAGTGGCACGTCTATGCAGGTCTTGCGATCCTCAACCCAGACGCGAAGAAGCAGATTAAGCAGTATGCCGAATCTGTGACCGAGCTGTTCAAGCTCATGCTCGCAGGGCAGCGGGATGAGCTCCGTGAACGTGTGCATACCGCTCGCAAGGCTGTGTTTGGCGATAACGAGGATGGCAAGAAGCTGCTCCTTCGAGATGACTTGCTTGACCGATTCGCTTTAGGCACAATCCCAGAGAAGAAACTCAAAAACAACCATCTCAGTCTACTCGCCATGGTAGACTGCTGGTGGAAGCTAGGCATAGTACCCTACGACCACATGATCTGCTCGACGCCTGTAGGTCCCCATTTTCTTTCCTGTTTACATGGCTCTTTCAAATTCGAATCCACTAACGCACATTCAGCCCTCGCGCATGTGGCTCGGCATCACAGAGTACCTCTTCTGCAACCCCACGCTCCTCGAGGAGGCCATCGACACGGCCATTGACGACAACACGTTCCGCGCCGACGACCTGGAGTTTACCTTTGCCGCCCGGGACTGGAGCTCGCGCGTCAGTCTGGGTAACTTTGATGGCTACCGAGAGAAATTTGAGGAGATCCAGAGATACTTTGAACCGAGGTTTCCAGAGGCGACCAAGTTAGGGAACGAAATGATCAAGGTCATCTTGCAGAAAACTCAGGAAACTTGAGGTTCTGAGTAGAACCATCAAGACTTAGTAGATATTGGAGGAAAGCCCTGCGATAATCATACGCATGAAAGTGGACACGAATCATAACATACAGGTGTAGAATGCACGTCGTGAAGTCAAATATATACATTACGTGCATACTCATGTACCCAGCTGACCCAACCCCTTGTCTTTCAAACTACGTACTTGAGTATTTCACAACTCGCTCGTGTCGGCCGCTTTCACATTTACTTCCTTGTAGCTTGTCCGGACTCGAACTCAGTACTCTCCCCAATATCACAAACCCCAAAGCCTTCTTTGCCCCCCTTGATCCCCTTCCACTCACAAGCCTCTTGCAGCTCCTTTGGCGGTGCCATGACCTCTTCCTCAGTCAACACCCAAGTACCCCAATGCATGCCTAGCGCTCTCTTGCATTTCGTGTCCGCGAAGATGTTGACCGCGTCTTTGGGGCTAGCATGCACGTTGCTGAACATCCAACGAGGTTCGTAAGCGCCAATAGGAATAAGACCGAGATCGAAGGGGCCGCGATGTTGACCGATCTGGGAGAAAGCCGGGCAGGTGGGTAAGTGCGAGTACGCAGCCGAGTAGTCGTCTTCTGTGGTTGGAATGCTAGACGGAACCGTGCGGTAGCCTGTGTCACTGGGTAGGGTAAGCATAAAGAATGAGTCTTGAGCGTGGTACAAAGCAGACGTACCCAGCAAAGTAGACCTTCGCTCCGCCAGATTCCACACTCCAGCTTGCCCAGAGGGTCTTGGCCTTGTCGAAGGGCGTCCTTGCACTAATGTGCTGACAAGGCAGCGCACCAATTGTCGCTGTAATACCACTAGTCTTGTCCATGTCCACCGAACTCACTGAGACAGAGCCAGCCCTACCCCCCTTTTGCGACAATTCCTCCAACTTGACATCTCTACTCTCCCACCAATCTAATTCTGTGACTTTCGTGACCCCGCTCTTCTCGAACCACTCTTTATTGCCCAGGGGCGCAAAGAAATGCGCCTCGGGGAATTTCTTTTTCAAGCGCTGAATCGTTGGGTAGCTTAAGTGATCGTAGTGGTTGTGGCTTATAACTACTGCGTCGACAATTGGCAAGTCTTCGATCTCACATGGAGGGGGCGTGTAGCGTTTAAGGCTCTTTATAGTGAACGGTGCACAGCAATCTTCAAAGACGGGGTCAAAGAGAACACGAAAGCCGCTCGGGAACTCTATATAGTAGCATGCGTGGCCGAGCCACGTTGCACGAAGTCGTGACGTCTCTCGGGAGGGAAGGAATATTGGCTTATGGACTGGTACTGTCGGTGGCGAGGTGTCTGGACTGTTTGCTTGACCGGTAATCTTGCGCCTGCCACGGAGTGTTAGTTCGCGACTTGTAAATTCTCCATAAAGGCGGACTTACCAGAGCATACCCTTGATGAGCAGTTCCCAGGGACTTGACTCTACATAGCTATCCCACGGGTTCGTAAATCCTTTGCCGTTCTTCAGGTGATGTCTCTTTTCATCGGCTTCCTCGGGTTTCGCAGCAATCTGTGCTGGGTTGCTTACCACGGCGTAAAGACCTACGCCAATACTTGCACCACCTACTGAACTCATCTTGAGCGTCCGAGCAAAGTCAGGGTTTTGCCAAAGGGGCTGTCTTTTCACCCAAACCCGGTAGTTTCGCGATTCACTGAGTAGCCTTCGTATGATGCGAGACGAAAGCGACAGGCGAGACATTGGATATATACACACGTCTAGACTAACTCAAGCGGCCCAGATATGAGCTATATTGTGTTCGCGAAAGAGGAAAATCATGCGCGCCCACCCTCGGTTGCGCCGGCCGCATTTCATGTAGTCGGCGAAAAGTTGGGCCAGACCGGAGATAGCCATCGTCGACGTAAAGGCCGTAGATGCATTCAACTTGTCATGCACTCGATCGCTACCTACTGGCCGGGTTCACCCAGGCAACAACAGCATCGGAAGAGCGGCTTGTCTCCTTGTCCGATTCTTTCGCCGTGCGTCCACGCCCAAATTCGCCTGTGCAGACACTCCCGAGGTCTTCAGCTTGCGCGATCGCAGCGCGCGATGTTGCGCGGTCGAATCGGCGGAACACGGTGTCGTCCGCATGACGCATGTCGCATGCAATACGCGGAGCTTGTACTAAACTCCGTCCACCTACGATATCGTTCACCTGAAAGAGAGAGTAGAGGTAATTCATTCATACCTAGTGCTAATGAAATAATAGGCTAAGCTGGATGCTACATCAGAGCTAACTAAACATCGCCGGTGCCGATAACTCGGGATTTGGCGATCACACCCACCTCATACTCGTATTCCTGATGGCTGACTGGAGGTGATGCCTGAGCAGGTCACACCACGTAGTAGGGGAGTGTGAATACAGTGCCCATACCCGTGTAAGTGACGAAAGAGTGCCTCCATACCAAAAGTGCATATCCCAATCTCGTCCTATAGGGACATCTTTAAAACCAAACCCCCTTGTGCGCTTCGCTAGCTTCAAGTAATAGAGAAGTAACATCTACTACCATGGTCGCTCCTCGATCGGCACTTCTCCCGTTGCTTCCCAATAGCTTATCGCATCTTGGTAGGCTTTCCGGTAAGTCTTTCGTCGATCCTCCATTGATGGACGGTCGGGGTTATTCAGGTCGTACTCCTTTTCGATGTTGCGGAACTCTGCATCTGCTGGAAAGATCTTATCACCCGCAGCTGGCTGAATATAAAATATTCGCAAATCTTTGTCGACCCGGTTATCCTGGCTCCAACGCAGCAGAGCGTCTAGATCTTGACATTGACGATTGTAGGTGAGCTCGGGTTCTGCCGCGGGTTCACCTTCGACCCACATGTAGTTGAAGACATCATACTGGACGTAGCAGGTCAGATGATCTACCAAAGCATGGAGACAATGCTCGGTATGGATCCAATCCATTGTATCGCTACAAATGTTAAGTTACGGAGTCAGCGCATACCTCACACGCATTTTACGCGGCTATAACATACTTTGGGTATCGGTGATAATCACGGTAAAGACGCCTCCGGATGTGGTCGAGGCAGTGAATGTTATGAGGGTGTGCGAATCGTGTGATGAACTTCTTCTCGCCGTAGCCGAAGCTTTGTGGGACACTGATATAGCGGTCTGGATCTTTGCCAAGGATGCGCATGTCGTCCTCTGTTATCAAGAATGGATAGCCCGAGGTCAGCGCATGCCATGCTGCGTCGACTTCTGGACTTGGCGGTTGTTGCCAGATGGTTCCGTTGCTGCCTGCGAAGACAGGAACGCTGGTATGGTTGGGGTAAGTGCTGCGATTAATTTTTTCCAAAAACGATGGTTCTTTATCACGCTGTGTTAGTCACGTATCCAACGACCGAAAGACCACATACCAGATGAGCCCCGTTCATTTTGCAGGTATCCACTGTTGGAGATCAAACCAAAGACGAAGAACAAGATGGCCACCACAGCGTACCTCAAGCATGAGCAAAGTAGTGGCAGAGACGGGGCGGATTTGGTGCGAGCTTCAACGCTTGGAACCGTGGATGGCAACAGCCCCTGTGACTCTTCGAGGTCTTCACTTCGAGGCGTTTTACGCGATGTGTGATTCATGGTATTTGGTGCGCAATTCAATAGTAAGAAACCTGTTACGTTCAATACTTCGGCACACAGAGTCAATGGAAGATCGTTGACTCGCTGCGTGCTTTCAAAGACAACAACGACAACGCTCACCACACGAGATGATTACAAATACATCGCGGGACGGAACCTTCTGATAATTCCCAATGAGGGGTACTGCATGCGGGTTGCATTGGTACGGTCCTGCTCCGGCACATCCGCGGGCCTGCCGAAAGCTACATAGGTATCACCTTAGACGTTCAAGGTTGAAGTCCGAACGCGATGCCGAAGACTGCTCGTTCTTCTCCATTAGAGTTTGATGCTCCCTAATTATTACGTCAGCTGGAAACAACTACAAGACGATCGGCGGAAGATAAGAATTCCACCCTTTGAGCAACACGATGATACCACGCCCTTCTACTTTGCAAAGCATACCAGTGAGGAAAAAAGGTATGGAATTACATCTAATGAACACGGAGTCAGAAACCAGCTCACATATGACTATTCAGAACAGATGTTCTACCGCTTCGTGACTTCCCTCGAACAGCCAGATATGGACTCGGAATCCGCATCCACAAGCACCGTAGAAGAGCGCATTGGACTTACGTCACTGTCCCTGAAATACAACAAGGACACATCCAAACCACGGAAGTACCTCGTCTTACGAGCAGCTGCTACCTTTCTCATTGCTATCCTGACTGTATGCGGAGCTTACGCGGTCGGAGCCCAAGCACTCGCAACGCTGACGCGGGATGACGCCACATGTCTGTGCGGTGTCACGACTGCGGAAGGAATCTCGGGGAACTGCAAGTTCGACGAAATCGAGTTATGCTGGTTGAAACCGGAATGCATTGACTTCGAGCTAACGCACGAGTTCACGACGGCTTCTCGTTCTGACAAGGGGGGCGTGTGGCTATACCAGACCGAACTGGATGGCAAATATCGCCTTATCAATGGGACCGAACTATCGATGCTCATTGAGCCCGGGCGGACCATATGGTTCACGTACGAGCAGCATGTTGCGCACTGCGTTTTCGCGTGGAGGAAGCAGTTTCGACAGCAATTCACAGGTATTGTGATGCCTATGACCGCATCGGACGAAGGTCATATCAGGCATTGCGGAGAGATGTTCATGCTGGATGCTAGATTGGGAGAGAGGCGTACTAAGCTGGTCTACCCTTCTGAAGTGTAGTCAGATTAGCTGGAGCTTCAGTCTACCTAGGTACCTAGACACTTTGGCATCTAGCAACGATTAGCGCTTACAAATTACATGCAGTATCATTCCGCCACAAACAATAAACCTCACTCTTAAGACATCGAACTCGGCCGAGCAGCATACGAGCAGACCCGGCGGGTCAAATGGAATTAGTCAAAATACGACACTTCTGCAGACTAGAGGGCATGAGTTGGCCGCATTTCGTCAAACTTTCGGGAAATACATTGCTTTTTACTCAATTTCACATGCTTTCTATAGGCTGCCTCACTGTGCACTTTGCAGGGGACAAAGCTTACATTCGACTTCGAAGCCCTGTTCACTACAACGCGGCTCGGTCAACTAGTACCGAGCTCACCAAGCATGTAGAGTTAGTATAACACGGCAGTTCAGAGTGGAGAATACAGTTCAACAGAAGTTTGGTAAGCTTTCGACACGTGCCTTGTCATTCGTTCAACTCTCATGCCATCTCGTATCTCTAGACCAACGGCGTTAGTTCGGTATCTCAATCACCATGAGACAATTCCCACGAGTGCGGGGTACAGCTTGATGGCAGATTGTCAACTGAAGATATGCGTTCCTGATCGTTCAAGTCTGTCATCGTGCCTCGATTCCGGGGTAGCGGGGTTGCAACTGCATCTCAACAACTCTGACATACGTCCTACAGGCCGCGTAACCGTGCGGGAGACGGACTTGACGTTCATAATAGAGTTACACCTTAGAAGACTGTTCGATCAGCGTCATATTTGTGGGTAGAGAGCGATGTACAAATAGCTGAGCTGAAACGGCACAGGATTGCTATTCCTTACCACACAAACACACTTCGACTTTTGAGAACGAATCTCCACCACCGGATTTCATCGTTCTTTTCGTACAAGTCATCCAATATGCAAAAGATTCTTGTTACCCTCATCGCTTTGGCCGGTTTGTCAGCAGCGACCGCTTCGCGTAAGTTCACACCAGACCAAGTGATAGAAGAATGAACTTACTAAATATCCAAGCTCATGCAGAGGAATCGAAGGACTTCAAGAAGCGTGACACGTACATTGATCTGTTCAAAGATTCTGGACCAGCTCCCGCACCAGACACTGGATCAGAGAAGCGCGACACGTACATTGATCTGTTCAAAGATTCTGGACCAGCTCCCGCGCCAGACACTGGATCAGAGAAGCGCGACACGTACATTGATCTGTTCAAAGATTCTGGACCAGCTCCCGCGCCAGACACTGGATCAGAGAAGCGTGACACGTACATTGATCTGTTCAAGGATTCTGGGCCAGCTCCCGCGCCAGACGCTGGATCAGAGAAGCGTGATACCTGAGTTGATCTGTTCAAGGATCAGGGATCAGCTCCCGCACCAGAAGAGTTTGGAGACAAAGGAGCGATCGGGCCGCTCTAGTGGACGAAGCAAGAATCGAGGATAAGGTGGTTCTGGTGTATATAAAAGGATGAGCATGAATGTAGAGTTTTTGCTTCTCACACTGAACATTTGACCGTGCCAGCACTCGTTACGACCATGCAACACTCCCGACTTATTGCGTGCGTTTTCCTTGTCATTGCAACATATCTCGTGTCTACCACACATTCAAGAGCGCGTACCTCGCTGTATCCTGTCGAGCGTTCAATTAAAGATGCCGAGGACTACTTCCAAAGTCTGGCGGTTCAAGAAACGCACACATACGCACAGGCGGTAGAATCTTATCAGTACCGACGCGGACGATGCCCACCTCCAGGATTCCGGGCTTTTTACGACCGCCTCCAACAATTAAAAGGCATATCAATCGAGCCATTCTGGGATCAAATATACGACGATTTGGAACCATTCTGGGGTGTTACAGCACAGGTCACGCAGACTGCAGCGGCCTCATTGGTCTCTCTCGCCGGCTTTCAAGAGCAAATTGAACGACTCCAGGGTTTCTCATTTCGACGTGGAGAAGTCCGAGCCAATTGCCCGAGAGAGGATATGACCTGTGACGATCAACTGGGCTTGCTCAGAAAAATCGCGCCACTGCTACCAGATATTGACGTGGCAGTGAGTGTGCATGCCTCGCCTCGTGTGCTCGTTCCTTGGGATGTGATGGAGAGAGCCCGACAGCAGGCACGTCAGCATAGTCTGTTGTTGTCACGCTCAGCAGGTGCACGAACCCATGTCCATGGTGGAGTTTCCAGTGCCCCCCACAGTGAAGAGGAAGACGTGGTGAAGGGATGGAATCGAGGTAAGCCGCAGTACGTCATATGCAAAACTTGTCCAGCTGAAGTTCAAACTACCCGCAGACTTTCCTCCGTACGCTTTCCACGACATTATCTGCCCTCCGAAAAATGCTTCTTGGGATCACGTATCACTTCCCAAGTCTGCTGTCCAGGACGTTTGCGCTCAATCAGAATTGGCTGGCGTCCACGGCACAATGCTGGCGCCTCACCTGGTGTCGACATCGTTCACCCTTCTCCCCATATTCTCTGCAACACACATACGGCATGTGAGCGCCGAGATAACAGTTCCTGACCTTCATACCTGGGTGGACATACCCAGCTTCACCCTTCCAGAACACCTGGTCAACTCATCTGTGGGTGTGGCATGGTCGGAGAAGCGCGACAGGGCCATCTGGAGGGGCTCCAACACCGGAGGCAGACATAATGCCTTGACCTGGAAGAAGTCTCATCGCCATCGTTTTGTTGCGTCAATGAACTCCACTTTCTTAACAGCCGTTAGCAGGGGTCAGATCGACTGGACAAGCTCTTCGCTGGGGAACATATCATCCAAGCCACCGCACTCCGAATGGATGAACGAGCATGTGGATTGTGCTTTCACCCAACTGCGGTGCGCTGAGCGAGGTTGGGACGTCGGAGATGCCTGCAGCTACCTCGATCATCACTTTCGAACTGCGGCGCACACCACTATGGCTGATATGGCCACATACAAGTATCTACCAGACATTGATGGCAACGCGTATAGTGGTAAGCACTGTCATTATCCTCTATACTATACGCCGCATAACACAGCTCATAGCTCGCTTCCGCGCATTACTCATGACGGGCTCGGTGGTGTTGAAGGCTACAATCTTCGACGAATGGCACCGGTCGCGGCTTGTACCATACAAACATTTCGTTCCCTTCGACCTCGGCAATCTTCCTGATCTTTGGCACAAACTCTGCTTCTTTATCGGCGGATGTTGTCAAGGAGAGAGTTGTGGGCACCACGACAGGCATGCCGCAGCAATTGGAGAGAACGCGGCGATCTGGAGCCGCCGAGTTCTCCGTAAGGCAGATATGGAGCTATACTGGCTACGGCTGTTATTAGAGTACGCAAGAGTAGTGGATGAAAGAAGACACGTGCTATGCGAGCGGGACGATTATGAGTAGTCTTTTGGAAAATATCAGAGGAGGAAAGTGGTGGAGTTCCTCACATACGATCAGCCGTCAGACTCCTAAATTAGGAAAAGGATACTCTGCATTAAGAGATATTGGAGCCATGCCCAAGGCAACCGCATTGCCACGTAGCAGATGATCTGAAGCTGTATATGCTGTCTTAGTAATGAGGATAATGTCATTAATCCGAGCCTCGAAAGAAGTTGACCCGTTCAATAAAACATGAAAACCTCAGAGGATTTCTGCGCGCGTGAGCGTGAGCGGTCGATCAGAACACTGCCAAGCAACGGGTCAACTACATAACCCCGTCTCCTAGGGCCCGGGCCGACAAGCTCCAAAACCCCAACAGCAGGGTGACGCTGGAAGCTGACTGCAACCATGTCGGGTTTTCTCGCGACCGTTCAAGCAAAATTCGGGCCTATATAGGAACGTTTCGCATTACCCCTCTTCCTAGAACTGTACGAGCCGTCCACATAAGCGCTACGGGCCGTTGTCTTAATCGTTGTCTTGGTAGACAGAGCTGAGAGCGATCTCAAGCAGGTGTCGAACGCGTTTCGATATCGATCGGATCCGCAGTATGAATAAAGATAGTTCTATAGATGAGGCGAGCGGGGCTCACAACGCCTACCCAGGTGCGGAGCGACTTCCAGCTGTCCGGGACATTGTCGACCATTACACAACGCAACAAGGTGCGCACATGGGAGAAATAGACATATGTTGTCTTCGTAGGGATCTTTTGTAGGCGAACTTCGGTCTCGGGCTGATGCACGAAAGCCTAACAGCAGTCTCGTCTCGTCGGCTCGTTAAGTGCTCAGCTATTCGTGAGGCACTCGGCACATGGATGCTGCTGACGTACATAGAGAGGTAGTAAGATTCTCACAGATGATTGCAACTTCTTGTAGAATCGGGACTTCTTCTACTTATCTTGGCTATCATGAAAGGACTGTGGACGTTAGCAGCTCTTTCGGTTCTCGCTCGAGCTCAGAAAGAACACACCCGTACCGGCTATGCCGACAAATTTCATAGCGAGGACTGGTATGACTGCGGTCCTTATGGAGGTAAGTCATCACACGGATACAGTACAGACTGCAAATGTTAACGTCCGGTCAAGGCTGGGGTTGTGCTCCGCCCGTAACAGGCAGCGAATTGCCGCTGAAAAAACACTATCACGAGAACAGCACTTTCAGACAATTGATAGACCACGACAACCCTAGCCTCGGGACTTTTGATCAGTTCTATTACTATGACACAAGGTACTGGAGGGGTCCCGGCTCGCCAGTGATCCTCTTTTCGCCGGGGGAAGTGAACGCCACCATGTACCACAGCTTTTTAACCACCAGTCATATGACGGGAGTCCTAGCTGAGCGTATTGGGGCAGCTACGATCGTTCTCGAACATCGCTACTGGGGTGATAGTACACCTTTCCGCAACTTCACCACTGAAAATATGAAGTACCTTACCTTCGAGAACAGCAGGAAGGACATAACAAATTTCGCACGTCGAGTCCAGTTGCCTTTTGATACCGACAAAAACGCCAGCAGCAATTCTAAAAACGTTCCATGGGTAGCTATAGGTGGTAGCTACTTTGCTGCCCTGTTAGTATGGACTGCAAGCCTTGACCCGGGCACCATCTGGGCCTACTACGCTTCAAGTGCATCAGTTCAATCTGTTTCTGACTATTGGGCATACTTCCTTCCTGTACAAGAGGCTGGACCGAAGAACTGTACTAGAGACATCTCTCTTGTCATCGACTATATGGACGACATTCTTACCACTGGTTCTCAGGACGAGCAACACGCACTCAAAGCCAAATTCAACATGCAAGACGTCGCTCATAGCGACGATTTCATGAATGCCCTGGCGCATGGCCCCTATCTCTGGCTAGGTAATCAGTTCACATACAACACAGGCTTCTTCACCTTCTGTGACTACATTGAGAACGCCGTGAACGCCACCGCCACCGACCTCCCATCTGAAGCTGGTGTCGGCGTCGAAAAAGCGCTCGAGGGATACGCGAAATGGTGGAAAGAGGTCGAACTCCCCAGTCACTGCGCCGGGAATGTCTATCCCGACTTCAACACTACAGACAATACTGACTGCTTCAACACCTATAATGCGAGCTCCCCACTCTTCACCGACACGACGCCGAGGAATGCCATGAACCGGCAATGGTTCTGGATGAAATGCAACGAACCATTCGGGAACTGGAAAGTTGGCGCTCCCCCGGGACAACCATCACTCGTTTCCCGCCTCATAACAACCGACTACTGGGTTCGTCAGTGCGGGATGTATTTCCCTCCTGGACCGAATGGAGAAACATATGGTCTCGCAGCGGGAAGAACCGAAGAGCACTTCAATACGTACTTTGGAGGCTGGAATATTACCAACACAAGCCGGCTGATCCTCGTCAACGGCGAATTTGACCCGTGGAGAGAGATCGGTGTTTCGGCAAAAGGGAGACCCGAAGGTCCGTTGCAGAGTACCGAGCAGGTACCAATCGAAATTGTGCCTGACGGTGTTCACACTAGTGATTTAAATACCAAGAACGGAAAGGTCAATGCCAGGGTAAAAGAGGTGCAGGATCGAGTGTTGAAGCAGTTGGTCGAGTGGGTTAAAGAATGGCCTGGGGGAGATAAGTGATCGGGGTTACGAAAGTTAGCTGGTCCGCGGGTACTCAAATCACTTTTGCTGCAGGCTCTCTCCAGGCTACCTTTTGTCATTGCGGTCCTACTGTTATATAAACTCATGTTGCAGACGCGCTCTGCAAGGTCACGCACCTCTACTTGAGCACTCTGCTGATCTATCAGCAAACAGGGTTTTGTCGCAATAAGATAAACGCGTGTTTGAGCTACTCGCAAGAGGTGATAGAGGCCTGAACATACCTTAAAATGACGATTTGTAGCCCAGATGCATCTTGATTTGTAGTCCTTGTTTGAGCCAGCCAAGATCGGGACAAACAAACTTAGAAGGACAGCTAAGATGATCTAGAGTTAGGCTACACCGATCCTGCTGCATCTTGTTACTGCATGATTTGCTCTTACTCACCATATAACGTGTTGGAAGACGGGCATCGATCGAGTGAAGCTTAGCTTTGGGTCACTCATACATACCGGGCATACGAACAAACCTTGATTACTTTTCACTCGCAAGTCAACTCGGCCGCGGCCATCTATTTCGACCTCATCCGTGAGGCTTGCACATACACACGGCTGGAGCAGATCTAAAACGCTCGCGTGTAATGCGCTCTTGCGGAAGCACACGGGATCCAATGCTCCAACGTCGTCTGTCAGAACGGGTTCTACGGGATGGCGGGAACGCTTGATAGTGCTGCCGGGTGGCGCTGAGACCGAACTACCCAGGCTATGTTACGCCCAGATCGAAATGACCGAAACATCATCCTTGCTTGATTTACACAAGCCGGTCGGGGTTGCTTCCGTGATGACAGTCACTGCGGGATTAGCACCGTGGATTCTTGCTCAAACGAAGGATGTGTGACTGACTCACATTTCAAGACCTGTCACATAATCGAACATACAATGAGAGCCACGGATGCCAGAAGAAGTAGAGTTGAATTTGGCGTTTCCTGTGCGACTGTGCCGCTTTTCTAGGATGTTTTTTTTTCGCATTCTGATGTTACCCCCTTGTCAGGGTATCTCGTTGTATGACAGTTATACACTAAGCAAATCTTTCCTCCCGTTTCCCAAAGCAATGCCCAAACAGAACCGTGTAAAGCAAGAGGTATTTTTTCCACCACTCCGAAAGAAATAAAGCGAATCCCATCGCTGATCTTGTGCCATTAATTACAACCCGACTACAGCGGAAGGCGAGGATCGAGGAAAGAAGTCGTGAACGTAACAAGCGACCCTCCGGTGGTGGCGTGATGCTGGTCGCTACCGAAGGCTTGGTCGCATGGAGAGGCTTGGTGTGCCGAGTGCAAAAGCCGACTCCAGAGAAGAGAAATCCATAAACCGAGATAGGCAGCCCCGTAAGCATTCTCGAGGCAGCGCTAGAGAAATGAACAATCGTAAGGTGCGAGATGACACCCAGGTAAAAGCAAGAACGCCGTAACCCACAATTTCGCTGACATGCTCCTATTAGACCATGGACAAACCAAAGTCTAAAACGTAATACCGGTGATACAAGGAAAGAGTGAAGGAAAACGAAGGAAAAAGAACCAGTGAAATCTATCATGCAAGATGATCGCAAGCCTTGTGCGTTTTCGTGAGATCCGGAGGCGCACCAATATGCTTGCAGATAGCAGAAGGAATAAGGCAATGGCACCTTGAGAGTGTCTGATAGTCTAGACTCGAGGGAATCGAAGTAGCCAGATGTGTCCAGTGATCGGAACTGGGTCGGCTTGGTAAGCCATGGTACTTCGCGAAACAGAAAGTAACTTTTTGAACATAGGAAGTGCTGGAATGGGCTGCCGAATATGTATCCGTGAAGGTGTGGCAAGGCGATGTCGCTTTGATATGCGGCCGGTCGGTGGCGGGCAATTAGACGGCAACAGCCTGTGGGCCATAACCAGGAGCCATGTAGTAAGGCGGGTGCCTCTGCACGCAGTAGGCACATCCGCAGCTGAGACCATGCTGGTTCCATGCAGACGGTGTGTACTGAGTGGAGTAGGCGGGTGGGCCATAATTGGACGGCTGCTGAAGCGCTTGCGCAGGGGCGAGCTGAGACAAGGGTGGGAAGCCGAACATGGTGCGACGCGAGTATCCCTCAGCTGGAGCCCAAGTACCCATTGTGCCGTAGTACTCTGGGGTGGTAGGGCCTGTGGTCGGTGCTGACGCAGGAGAGTGCTCGCTAGCGGACCGCCATGGGTCGTACTGCGAATAGGTCGGAGGGTTGTATGCAGAGTGTGCCGACTTGGGCGCATAGTCGTACGGTGGAGTGTAGGCCTGGTGCATGGGCAGAGGAGGAAGCGGCTTGTTGGGGTTGAGTGAGCGTCGGTGTACCGATGTGTCGATAGGGCTAAGCTTGTTGCTGCGACCAGAGCGGGCAGCAGCACTGTTCTGGTAGTCCTTCCAGTGCTCTGACCATGATGTCCAACCATGCTGCTCAGATGGATCGCGATGAAGCTTGAACTTGATTGCTACGAGCCACTCTAGCTCCAGCTCATTCAGCTCATGAACCTGAATACCGCTAACCTCGGACCACGAACGGTTGATGAAGGTGTTGTCGTCCAAGAACTTGCTGCCAAGCACAAGCGCGATGGTGAGGAGACGGAACAGGTGAGTGTCGGTCTTGGGCTCGTGAGCTAGCATAGGCATCCTGCTGGACAGGTAGTACATGCTGAGCAGGATTGTAGCCGAGGGCAGCCGTGTGGCGCAAAGCACCTGGTGTACCCATTTGCGGAACGACGAGGGCATCATGCGGCCGGGCGTGATGAGTCGTAGGGCTGTCTCGCACACGAAGTCGGTCATGACGTCCATGTCATAATCCAGCTTTGCAGACACGCCGCCGACAGGCTTCTCTTCCTTGGCGGGCTGACTCATTCGCTGGTTGTACTCGTGCACGCGCTGCTGCTGCATAGCCGCCTCTGCCAACGCGTGGCCGGACTGTGCGCGCATGGGTGGCAGGGTGGTTGCGCCCATGGGATCGTAGAAGGAGCTCGCAGGTGGAAGGCTGGGAGGCGCACTGCTGAGGTAGGTGCCGGCCTGCGGGTACATGGGAGGCATGGCGATGGCCAGTTGGCCGTAGCGGTCTGCGAAGTCGTAACCATCATCTTGCTGCCGGATCGTGGGGCCAGCGTACGCGGGCTGCTGCGGTGGGTATGAGGCGCCACAGGCAGAGTGGTAGCTGGGGACGAACTCCTGGGGAGATAGGCGTGGCATGTTATGCCGGGGGTAGAAGGAGGGCATGATGGTGTGGGACTGCCGCAGAGAGAAGACTGGCGAGGCTCCTGGCGTCGTGTTAGTGAGTGCTGGCGTGACGGGCGTGGCCAGCGGCTTGGGGCTTGTGACGTACAGTCTTCTCGTTCGCGCCGCCTCTAGAGTTGCCTACGGACCCTCTAGAAAGATGTGCTCATTCAAGGAAATGCGACGTCCGGGAGGTGTTTGTGGGTGGTGGAAATGGGTCGCGCTGGTGGTTGCGCGGAGGCGGTGGGTGGCCGGAGAAGTGCCTGGAAGGGAGGCAAAGGGCGCGGCGACAGGTGGAGGGCAGCTCGAGGGTGATGGAGCGCAGGCAGACCGGGGCTAAGTCAATAGATCCGGCGATGCGAGGCCGTGGTGGGAGATGTCGCGGAGAGTCGAGGTCCCTGGGGATGGGCGGCAAAAGAAAACAGGTTGAAACCAAGGCCTATTACACAGTACAAGCCCAAACCAAAGCCGAAGAAAGCACTCGCAGCGTGTGGACAGGCGGCGGAGGGGACGAGGCGTTGGGTGTCGGAGCCAGACGGACACGTCTACCCGTGAGTGCAGGTGTGCTCGTTTGCAAGCCGGCGAGACAGAGCAAGCGTCGGGAGGTGCTGGTGAGCGGGCTGGGGATGCCGGACAGCCGAGATTGGGGGCGCACGTCCGTTGGGGCTTGGGGACTGTGTCGCGACGAGCAACGCCTGCGACGACGACAGGACGAGGGAGATGGGGAGACGGGGCACGGGGGAGAGTGAGGATGGGGAGGGCAGAGGGCGGTGATGTGGGTGTATTCGACACACACCGTTAGCGAAGGCCTAGCAGCAGCAGCAGCAGCGAAGGGGCTCTGGGACGCCCGCCAGACCGTCGCCATCCGAAGGCCGCACCTGCAAGAATGGTTCATTACTTGCCCGCTCCTCCACTCATGTGCTCTGAAAACTCTGCCTCTTGCAGTTAGTGGGTCGCAGCGTCGACTCCAGCCCGCGTCTTGCGGTGACTGGCACTCATGACTCTCGCCGCAGGAGCGCTGCAGTCGTGGTGCAGCGCTGCACAACTCCACCGCTCCCGGCCAATGAACGCTGCCAGGGACCACCCTCTGCACCCGCGACAGAAGCCAGCCACGTATCGCCCGCAACCCGGCCTGCCCTCTTCTTTTGGCGCGCCTGCAGTAGCGGCCTCACTGGTCCGCTGCGCCGTGAGCACCTGTCATCTGAGCTGCTTGGGTTGTGAACAGTGCTCGAGTGCCTGAATTGTGAAGACAGGAGTCAATTTGCACCGGGCGACGCGCAGCCCCGTGCCAGTCTGCGTTTTGTTTTGATGGCTGCTCTCGTGTCGTGGCCATGGCAATACGCCGGGCCCAAGAATAGCACTGCCATCGCGCGCACTTCACCACCGACTCGGACCCGTTCGCAGTGCAAAATTGTGCCGCCGCCGTTGAGCGCTCCTGCGACGCCTGGCCTTGTCCGTCGGGCGGGGCCACGTCCTACCATGGGCAAGACGGAGGGTGTCGCGATCAGCGCGACTTATGCAAATCGATCCCGAATCTGAATCCCATGGTAGCGTGGCAGTGACAACGTCGGCGGCGAAACCGGACTGCCTGGTGCCTGTAGGCGAGCGTCATCAACGTCCTCGTCGCCAAATTGCTGCTCGTGCAATCGTCACTGGCAACCCAAGCCCTCGGCGCCCCCCTCTGGGCTCGGTGCAATATCGTAAGCAGGTGCCCACTGTATGCACCTGGATGCATGTGAGGATGTTCGAGCCTTCGAGGCCGGCACCTGCTCCACTCAC